GATATCTTTAACATTTTTGTTGCAACACAATTCATGTAGAAATGTCGGCCAATGCAGAATGAAGACTTTTTTTCTTAGAATTGCTAATTTTATAAACAGTAGGCATGGTTCAATCTTAAGCAACTTAAATAGCGGGTGGTCCTAAACTTTTGATCAGTATATATTTAGCCTGGGTCACACTGCGCTTGCAACCTCAATAATCACTTTGCAGTGTCGTGGTACATGTAATACTAATAATAATAATAAAACATAAAGGGAGGCCTTTATGACATAACTGATGTGCCTGAACAACACTGCATGTGCCTTGTCCTGAAAGATCATCACACTTCCGGATTATTTACAAAAAGTTGAGGAACTAAATGCCCACTGGATATAGTAAAGGTTATTATTCACACAGATGGTGCAATACTTTTGTCACCCCTCTGCACATGTAAAGAAGGTCATCGCCATACAGGATCAGCCAATGGCTATTTCAGAATGATGTCATTTTCAACTGTATTCACCTTATATCACATTGTACTTTGTGTTAATTCTCACTATAGTACTAACAGTGTTCAGATAGTATTTTCGTATACACGTCGGACTGCCTTTCAAAATGTAAGATATGAGCGCTAAATCAAAACCTTGGTAGTGTTTAAAGTCAATCTCTATACTGTTACAAATTTAATACGTGCGTATAGCTTTTCTGAGCCAGTAGGTCACCCTGACCTTGATTTCCTCTCTTAGTTTTCATAAAGGTGTTGTCAATATCTGGCGGTTCTGTTTTGCTTTATGGCGCACAAGGAAGACCTACCGACAAGAGAAAGGTTCTGACTAATATACTGCTTAAAAGAAGTTACACATTGAAAGAACACATTGAAAAAGCAGCCATGAAAAAAAAACATGTTCACTGTCCAATAACTTAATTTAAACGTATAAATAATAATTGTCAATAATCGCTTTGCATTTTGTATGTATTGCAAGTATCATCATGCAAATAAGCAGAAAAGCGAAGGGGTAAAAATCGAATTCACAGCTGTAACAGTCCTTTCAGTCTCGTGTGTGTCCACCTCTGGAATCCACAGTTTATTCAGAATGACTCTCCCTAGGGTAATTAATGTTTGAATCGTCTGGCTAAAAAATGTGACAGTTGCAGCTCTTGAAAAGGAGGCCAAATAATTTTATCCAATTTTTACGTATTTGAGGCCATAACATAATCATAATTGATCTTTTTCACTAGTGCAATTTTTTTATTCCAAGACAGTTCAACAAAAATGTTGATCAATACAGAATGATGACTTTGTCTCATAATTATTAATTCTACAAACAAACGGGTGGTCCTAAACTTCTTATGAGCAGTATTTATTTAGCCTGGGTCACACTGCGCGTGCAACCTCTTGGCAACCCCGTGACATGAATACGTTCCGTCATTAAAAGTTTGGCCAAGTTTTTTTTCTTAAATTTTGACTTTTTGTAACAATCTCTTAAGAGATTATTACAGAGGAAAGTCATCTAATGGAAGTCACTTGGCCCGATGGCAAGCATACCTACCAGAATAGTTGCAATGACCGCTGTTTTGGTGGTAGAATAAAATCTGTTATATTTCTATGAGCTGCTTTCAATGTGTCTATTGTGAAATATGGATCACATACGCAGATTCGTTATCCCTTTAGCTGAACCAATAAACCTGAGCCTTTCAAACAACGATTGCACAGTACAAAGACAAAATAAAAATAATAAGTGCTCGTGAGAATTAAAAAAAGTATAGGTACAACATGCTATAGACAGTATTTCTATATATCTTAGTGTTCGTCCTAAGCTTTTTCCCAATTGTCGGTGTCGTGGTAATACTCATAATTATAAACCGTGAAAGTAGGCTTTTTTGACATATAACAGTGTGAAGTGCATGTATTTTGTCCTGAAATATCGTCACACTATTACACATAAATAGTTGAGAAACTAAATGTCCACGGGGTATGATAAAATGTATTCAATTGCCAAACTTCGAAAAATCCGCTGTTTTATAATAAATCTCAGATCGATCCCAGCTAGGCTTACACTGTTTTGTCCACAATCTGACTGTAATCACACACATGCAATTACAGGTGATCAAGTGAGAATACGATAGGGTATATCACTATACCAGTAGCTACTTGTATATTACATAACGACATAGTCACCAGAAAAAAGACACTGATTAACAAGAGATGGAGGACAAAACATGCGAAAACGGCATGGGCAATTAAAGAGCGAAGTGTTTTTATCCAATGAAGAATTTCATCCGCTGCTGTGTTTTCTTTGAACACAGCTGAGGAAGCTCTCCAATGAATAAAAAAGTGTTTAAACGCCCAATTTCCTGATATCTTTTTAATTACCAGATACCATCAGAGTTATTGTCTATTGTTATTTAATAATACTTATATTTTCATATGGTAGATTAAACTCAGTAATGAATTCCTGCTTTGTGCGTTTTCTACATTATTAAAAAACTAGATATTTAAAACAACTACGCTTTCATGAAATGCCCTCCACTTGTGACCATGCATATGAATCCATTTTGTCCTTAAAATATTGGACGTGATATTTTGTAAATAAGTGCTGCGGTGACTAAGCATATTACATGTATATTTATAATTAAAAGAAAAGCAATATCGTACAATACAATAGCTAATAATATGTAAGAAACTCATATTAATTACGCACCAATAAAGCATGACTTAGTACACGTTACAACTACTCGTTGTCCACTGTATGCCCCAACAGAATAACAGTAATATAATATAATATAATATAATATAATATAATATAATATAATATAATATAATATAATATAATAACTGTATAACAACAGTAATTATATCGAGGAGCAGCCGAGATATCATTTGCTTTTGTATGTGGCATACAGTGTACGGCCAGTAGCTGGAATTGACATATCCAACGGCTGCCGCTTCTAACAACACGATGGAATTGCAACTATATTTCGCTTACAGGCTCGCCTGTATTTTCATACATTTTGATGCGTCCATTCCCATTCTTTTGTACGAAGCTCCAACCGTGGGGTAAACTAATTACAACAACGTCTACGGGAGCAAATCTTGGCTGCGTCTCGATATAATTGCACTCTTGCATGTGGTATGCAGTGGACGACTCGTGTTGTAACTACTACATATTTCTACATTATGAATCACACTCAATAAGGTGTTAGCCCTTGGTTGATAGCAAAGCAATGCTTATCTCTTATTACTTATGGATCAAATTTTCTTCCATTTGATCATATAAATATAGCCTTATTTGAAACAACGGCACATGAAGTGTAGCTTGCCTTTTTTTACTTTTTCCTTAAAAAATATAAGATATGAGCGCTAAATCAATCATGCTAGTGCTTCACGTTAATATACACTTGATCAATTTTTTTCTGTGCGTAAGCTTTTCTGAACCAGTAGGTCACCCTGACAGTGATCACCCTAAATACAATACCTGGCAGTAATTTTTTGTCTTGTAGCGTACAAGCAAGACCTACTGGTTCCAGAAAGATTCTGACAAATATATTGCTCAAAAGAAGTTAGGGAACGCTTTTGAAAAGCAGACAGTGAAAAGAACGTTCACTGTTCAATATCTTAGAAAGTATAACTACTTTGTCAACAATCGCTTTAAAGAAAGGGTTAATTTTGTTTGGACTTTATCATTATGCAAATGAGCATAAAAAGAAAGGCGTCAGTAAATAAATAAATAAGAAAAGAAAAACATTTTACAACTGTAAGAGTCTTCCGTTTCATGCTTGTCTTCCTCTGGAAACCACACTTTCGCCTCTCCTTAGAGTAATTAATGTCTGAAGCGACCAAAGAACGTGTCAGTTAAAGCTCTTGCAGAGTGATTCTCACGATAGCTATTCACGTGGGTGTTTGCAACCAGGACCCCTATTTTTGCCCGGGTTTAACCAGAATTTGGGTGGCCAAATAATACTCATTTTTAAGTATGCCCCATTTCAGCCCGAAAATAATTATAATTAAGACATTTAACTAGTGCAAAGTTTATAATTATTGTAACACAGTTAAAGTAGAAATGTCATCCATACATAATGATGACTTGCTCATTTGAAATACAGTAGGCATGGTTCAATCTTAAGCATCTGAAAAGCTTGTGTTCCTTAACTTCTTTTGAGCAGTATACACGGTAAATAAGACCCCATTCCCACAGATTTTAGATCGATCTATCCCTGTGGGGAGTCTCACTAGATTACTGTCAGCTTAGCCGGCTTAAGCGTCTGTCCCGCCTACTAAAAGCTGTAAGGGGGTAATTAACTATGGTGCGCGCTCGGCTGACTGCAATTTAGCGTGAACCCCCAGGGAGTTAAGTCGATCTAAATCTAAATTTCTGGATCGATCTAAATCTCTGGAATGCACCCTAAGATAAACGTTGAAAAACATCTCCCGTTGGGGTACTTTTGCAAATATGCATTATCAACATAAGTTGCCCCATACCCTGCAGCTGAACAGTTCTATTCTATACCCATTTTTAATATACCTTTCCATAGATAATATCGCAAATTATGCGATGTTAACCCATTTCCGTTAGTCGTGTGTGCATGTCTATTTGGTTACATGCCTATACGTCCCCGCACCGATACTCCCCCGCACCGGTACATCCCCGCACCAATACTTCCCCTCACCGATACTCCCCCACAATTACAGATATACTGAGGGGGAGTATCGGTACGGGGAAGTATCGGTGCGGGGGAGTATCGGTGCAGGGATGTACCGGTGCAGGGATGTATCGGTGTGGGGTCGTATCGATGAGCATAATACAAAAAATTACTAAGGGGGGATTATCGGTGCGGGGGAGTAACGGTGCGGGGGAGTATCGACATGACCCCGTCTATTTCCGGTAGCGCGACTGCTTGTCGGAAATTGCAGAAGGCAACAGGCATGACAAATTTAGCGCATACTCGTCTTTATCTGTGAATGGGAGGCCCTCCCAGACACCCTAACACAACTGTATGTTAGAAGCCTTTTGTGAACCTCTTAACTCATGGTACCTGAAAAGGATGAGGATACCTGATGGCCTGTCTCCCCCTCTTTAGAACGCGAAGTGCTTGGTAGGACTGGAATTTCTATGCTGGGTCCTGGTTCTGCCCCCGGTCTCACCGCGTTGTTTTTCATACACCTCCCAGTTAATATATTCTTATAGGCATGTCTGTAGTTCTTATTGGTAAACCCGTAGATGATAGGATTCACAACGAAGGTGCACATGAACAAAAGGGTGGCGGCTTCACTACCATTCCTCGACTGCAGCTTCTTGGTCATGATTTCCATCACGGTGGTGGGCACCAGGAGAATGTTGTAAGCCAGAAAACACATTCCGAACATTTTAGCAATTCGTATGTTCATGCGAAACTTCTGAGCCTGCTGATGCTGAGCCTGATTGATTTCCAGGAGTCCCTTCTTGTTCTTGTACGCTGAGTACATAATGTGGGCGTAACAGTAGATCATGGTGAAAGTCGGAATGCCCCATGCCAAAGCCTTGCTGATGAATCGAAACGCTTTGCTATTGGACGTCAGCATACTACAACGACATTCTATGGGGTCAAATCCCATCTCTCCACCAACTCCAAACATAACAGGAAGGTGGATCACAAAGGGGAACGCATAGCTGATAACCACAAAAACCCCATTGATTAGCTTGCTGTTCAGCATCATGGTAGTGCGGAACCACAAGGGCCATACAATAGCACAGTAGCGTTGAATGGTGATGAATCCAAGGATGAGGCAAGAAGCGCTGAATACTACCCAGCCTGTGAAACCTAACAGAGCACACGCCCTGTCGCCCAATCCCCACTGGCATGTCACGTGAGTGTATATGTAGGGGACGAGGACAAGTGAAGACACTGGGCCGTTTGTAATACTCAGGGCGATGATAAGGACATTGCTGTTCTTGTGAAGTTTAGTGGTCATCAAGACAGCGCATATTACTAAAAAGTTCCCCAAAAAGGCAAAGACAACTACTGGTATCGTTAAGTAGCCCCAAACACGCATCGGAATCTGGTATACTTCATTGGTGTTATTGTTGTTGTCATAGAAACGGTTGAAGTCGAGGTCAGGGTCGTATGTTTTGTCGAGGCCGAGGTCATATGTCAAGTTGATATCAAGACCAATTGTGACGTCCTCCAATTTGGTGGAATTGAGGAGGTCCATATCTGTAAAAGAATAAAGCCACTAAGATATTTGAAGCTGTTCAGTAATATTTTGAATGTGACTGAAAATAAAAGAACGCCAACTTCTGTTTCACTGAAGAAAGGAGAAGCATAAAGTTATGGGTAAAGATAATAACCGTGTTGTTGTCGTTTTGTGATAGTCTCATGTTTAACGTGCGATCTTTAAGAGGAACATTCGAATCTTTCAATGTTAACAACTAACAACTAAACAATACCCCTGTTTATGGATCCAACGTTATTTCACACTAAAATGGCATGTTTTTCTATTACAAAGTCTCGAAAAAATATCCAGAAAGATGAAGAAAATTAGAAATAAACACCTGTCACAATAACAAGTGCGTTTTTCGAGTTTGATGTAATTAGGGCTACGTAGTACAATTAATGTGTCTCTTCATACTTTCATGGAAGCTGGTTAAAGAAGGCTTCAGAATCATTTATCAGGTCGTCAGTACCAATCATTAAAAAGAATGACTCTATAGTGCTGCAGTATCGTGGGACCAGTTGCCTTACCGAGGCACCCAGATTTGTCTGGTACCTTAGTACCTTACAAATGCAATGGGTTATGGGTAAGTTTGTTCAATATCTTCAGCATTCCATTAATTCTAATTCAAAAACTTTCAGGTAAATGGAGGTGGTTGCTTTCATACAGTAGTTACGTCCCTTATAACTAAGGTAATAATTCATGAAAATTGAAATGTTTATACACCCATAGTTGTTCGTTGTTTTACACTTGTAATGCCAATACGTTTTAAATTATATTTTGTTTGGGAATAAATTGCTTCTGACTGAAAAATTACTAATTGGTTGCCATTTGGAAAATAACGACCATTATGGGTAAAGAAAAATAATGCTAAAATATCTCATCAGTTTTTGTTCATTATATTAGTTGTCCAGTCACAAAGGTAAAACTGGGAAATTAATTTTTAATTATAATCATCTGACAAATACTCGTAGTAGAGACTTTATTTCCAGAACAGAGGCGGACCCAAGATTTCTGCCAGGATGTTGCCTTAATAGGATTATCTTGGTATGAGACCACCGGTTAATCAAGCCTAAGACTGTCATCCATGCACCGGGTATAATTTGCAGTTAGGTAGCGTTAGGTTTCCAATTAAGTTTTTTTCCTTGCCTTTTTTTTTTTTTTTTTTTTTTTTAGAAAGATGTTGATTTAAATACAAATTCATATAACGTTAGTACTAGTTGAGACACGAGTCGCCTACTGTATGCACCTCGACATTATTACGCTTTTGTATGACGCATATAGTGGACGACTTGGTCTGTATTTGTACTTGGTCTGAGTTTGTCTGCATAACCAGCTTTGAAATAATTAGAGTTGCATGGTGATATCACGATATTTGACAAGGAAAATAAAAAAGGGTCGTGCTATCAGGTGTCATAGTTTCGAAAATAGGAATGATGGCGAAAAAAATGCTTAAGCTGTCTAGGTAATTGTATAGTATCTCTTGTCAAGTGTGGTTCTGATTTGGAGTTTTCAGTGCCGATAGATCGATTAACCAGGCAATAGCAGTCGACTCAAAATCTGCAAAATCTTTCTCTATAATTATAAAAATATTAAAAATTTGCTTAGAATTATACATGTAGATATTGATTATGATTTGACAATTCAACTACTGTCTGCTGTCGCCTCAATAGGTAAATGAATGTGAAAAAATGACTTAAAAAACAAGACAAGTAAAAGAATTAAAAAATGAACCTCGATGAAAATTAGTTCAGTATTTAAAACGAATTGAAAAAAATCCACACAAAATACAAGTATGCATGTGTTTATAATCCCAGCAGGGAAGTTAAATCTAAAAATGGCATAAAGATAATTAGACCTGAAAGTAGTGGCATTTTTGTGGGAATTCCCTATACTAAGAGGACTTATACCTGCACAGAACAAAATACATGTAGCTGCCAACTTCTAAAGGAACATACGACTTGGGGTTTTTATGCAGAATATTCATCAACGAGCAACAGGACAGTGTAGCCAAGGACATTTTGGAGACATTTGATGGCATTCTGAGAGCACAGACGTCCACCAAGACAAGTAATCGACTAAAAATTAACCCTTGCTACCTCATCCTAGACCATTTCAATAAGAATGTTGAAACTTTGGGGATGGACAGACATATGATAAGGGATGTGCAAAAATTAACCCTTGCTACCTCATCCTAGACCATTTCAATAAGAATGTTGAAACTTTGGGGATGGACTGACATATGATAAGGGATGTGCAAGGGCACTTTGGGATTTAGGTGTGCTTTGTGGTTAGGCTGTCACTGGGGGAAGATGATTCTAAATTATTTTTACATTGTAACTTCCGCTTTCTCCTCCTAGACTCTTAAGGTGAGAAAGTTGTAACTTAAGCTATCTCCCCATAAACCATAATAGTGAGGAAGTTAAACCTTTTTTGGAGTGGTAGACCTATCATCAGGGATAGGTCAGTCATAATTTGTCTGTGCGTGGGTGTTGGGCTGTCTCTGGGGGGTTAGATGACTTTTACGTTACTTTTAGGCTGTTATAATGAAGATAATTTGTAACAACATATAGGACCCAGGGATTGTTATAGATATCAAGGGCGTGGGGTCCCTGAGGGTAAGCTACTCTTTTCATTGTGGGGAAGTGCGGTATATGCGACAGCTACCCATCGACATCAACTAGTTTTAGATGAAATCTCACCTACTTGCGTGAAGAGATACTAGGGGACAACTTCTACAGTTTTTTCACATTGTAATATCTGCTTACTCCTCCTAGACAATTAAAATGAGGAAGTCCTGCCCTTGAGTATTGGGAGACGGGTGTACATGGGCCCCTTGGGGTTGAGCTGTCCCCGGGGATAGATGATCGTTATTATTTTATTTTTATGTTTGGTTTTCAATTAATTACTGCAGTAGTTGAGGACTCAAAATCAGCAGCACAGACCTTACCACCAAATTTAATTCAAACTATTATCTACGTTGCATCTTCTGAAAAAAAGGGGTGCATTGCAGCAGAGTGTGTTAAACATCATTTACGTCAGGCAATCAAAGCTTAATATGTGCCAACTGTATTCAGTAAATCATCGTTATTTAATATTTGTGTGCTATAATTCGCAAGCCCTTGCTCTGTGAGCAATTTTATTCTTATTTCTTCAGTCAATCAGACAATTAACCAAGCAATTCAATCAATTACTGAATCCATCAAAATACTGTAGGTGAACAACAAAATAATTATTACCTATTGATTAAAGAAAAACACTTGATTCTTGGAATGGCTTAAGGTAATAGGTCATTTGTTTGAAAGTGAATTGTCAAAATGGCAACCAAGCTAAAGTTTCTTTAGGGCCCAATGAGACCCTGAAACAAGGGAAAAAACGTAAAAGAAAATGCATTTTTTGAAACAAAGAGACACTATCGGAGAGACACTAATTCTAGGTTCCGAAAGATTTGCCTTGGTGGACTGTAATAAGATAGCATAGAGAATGTTTGTATAATTTCACATATGTATTCATCACCTGCCATCCACTTAACTGTGTAAATCTGCTGTTCAAAACAGAATTATATATATATATATATATATATATATATTTATATATGGTTTCTATATATAGCTTTCTTTGAAGTATGTATAATTAGTACATTAGGAAATTAAATTAGTATTAATATCAATCACGGTTGGCGTTTGGAGAAAAGGGGTATTTATGTTTTGGTTACGTTCGTAAGTTAGTCTGTTTGTCTCTTAGCAACCTTAGAGAAAGAGGTATGGACGGATTTTTCTGAAATTTTAATAAAACAAAGTGGGAAACCATTAGACATTGGTACTGATCCATTAAGTAATCAATAGTTTATAATTGGTAATTAATTTGTACGTCTTTGAGCGACATAATGCAAAAAGTTGAGACTGACTTCAAAAAAAGAAAGATTTGGAAACTAAAATGAGGTAGGCCTACATCTTTAAAATATAGTCATCTTTAGAATATAGTCACTTTTGTGTTATATCATTTTATATTCTGTAACATTGCATGTTATTCTTATTAGCAATAGGGCCGAAAGGTTAGTTAAAATGAAAAAATGAATGCTATAAGTGCAATCACCCTTTTATTCAAAGCACTTCTGAAAGGAACATTGAGATTACAGCGAACGTTTAAGTATCATATCGGTATCTAATAATATCTTTGCTAATAGACAGATCACAAAGTCCATATGAAAGGTGTTTATTTGTCATGAAACCGTGTCATCAAAGTGGACAGCAAGTCGTCCCTATAACCACAAACACTTGGAATACATGAATATAACTATTCATAACTTACCATTAAATATGCCCATAGGAATCTCGCAAAGCGCAACGAAATTTCTACAAAGATGATTTCTATTAATATTACATAAACTGTCATTCATCTCAATTTTTTCATATGTGCCCGATTCTAAGACACATCATATAGAAAAAATGTTAGGTTGAGAAACTGATATAAAACCTAATATTTATCTGTTGCTATGGGTGTGTGTCTCTGTACACTTGTCTTGTGTATAAAGTGCAGTTGCATGCAGCATTCAAGGTGACACTACATGTAGGTCGCTGGCCCATAACAGACACTATTCAAAAAGTATAGATACCCTGTATAGTATAGACAGCCTGTTTGTCCAACGCCACGTGCCCGTTTATTTCATGTTATTACAAATGATTATCGCCTAAATGTATATTAATAAGATGAAACAAATATTGAAAACTATTGCAATAGTTGACATTGTATATAATTTTTGCCACGGGATTTATTATTATTATTATTATTATTTTATTTTTTTTTTTGGATAAAAATCTGAATCAAGCGAACGTTTTTATTCAGTAGTTGAATTACGTTAACTACATTTGTTCCGTTTTTCTTTTTTTTTAGCTAAGCCTTACCTGGAGGTTTTTTATGCTCTTGGCGCGTCTTCGGACCCAATTCTCGACACCAACAAAGATGTTCAGCTGCGTCAACAGGTTTTGAAAAGCTGAGAA